TTACCCGCACGAGGTCAAGATTCCGGCGCGGTTTAGGGGTTTGGGAACAGGGTTAAGGGTTTAGGGGTTTGGGAATAGGGTTTTGGGTTTAGGATTTAGGATTTAGGAGTTTGGGAATAGGTTTTTGGGTTTAGGGGATTGGGAATAGGGTTTTGGGTATAGGGTATGTACAAGCGGCTAGCAATGACCATCATGATAATCAGACCAATGCAACGGCTAGTACTTTCCATGTGAGCGTCATCACCAGGATGGTCTGCATGAATGACTGGCGTCATCACAACTGTTTTCACGACCACACTCGCCCTAACAGGAAAAACAGCTGTTGTAGAAGCCAACATGGTAGCAGTATACAGTCGAAGCAGCAGGAGCAATGGAAATCTCCGTCGTCATCGTAACACAGCACCAACAACAGCATCACCATGACAGCCACAATCATAATCTTAATCTTTACGCCGTCAGCCTGTAAGACTCTAAACCCTTGATCCTAGAACCTTAAGCCTAAATCGCAGGTCCTATGCCCTAGGGCCTTAACCGTCAGATGGCCTGACGCAGCCTGATACTGACACGAAGATGAAAGCTTACGACTTAGCTATCAGGTTAGGGCTTAGGGACCCCAAACCCCAAACGCTCTGAACCTTTGGCCGGCATCTGGGTTCTTGTGAAGTAAATGATAGGGTTTCCCTATTATGGTAATTTAAACTAATGATCTTAACGAGAACCCAGGCATCTTCCTGCCAACTCCTCAGAACCTGAAACCCGCGAGCAGCTGAAGCCAGCAATATAGGGTTTAGGGCTTAGGATCCGTATCAACTAGAATGGGGTTTGAGGGGTTGTAACAGCTTTTTTTATATAACAGGAACTCCAGGGAATAATATTGGCAACCATTCACACTCCACCCTAAACACGGAACTCTAACCCCTACACCAAGATAGACCCTAAAGCTCTAAAAACCGGCAGCCTCAAGGTCTAAAGTCCGAACAGCCTGAAACCCTAAACCCTAAACCCTAAACCCTAAACCCTATATCAACCCTATACGAGGCAAGAAGCTGCTGGTTCGCCACGTTTCCCAGCATCTGGATGTTCGGAAGTTGTCCCATTGCATCGGATGTGGCATATCCTCCGTGTCAGGGGTTTAGGGTTTAGGGT